TTTGTGCTCTTGATACCCCAGCAGCCAGTACAATGATTGGTCCAGGGGCGCTGCTGAACACGTAATGTTTATAGAACGGATTTATTCATTGAGCTACCGTTTGTCTTGAAGATTAAACTATGTACTTTAAATAAAGCACTCAGCGTGCCTGACACATAGCTTGTTGTCATTTCTGCTTAATTTAATAAAAAAAAATGATGACAAGTCAATAAGATTATTTCATAAACTTCTTTTGTTTCTTGAATTAATGTTAGTCACAGAGTAGATGGCCTTGAGGCTTCAGTCAAGTTTGCGGTCCCAGGATAAATAAGAGCATGTCATTGCTTAGCACTCATGCCTGGTGCTTAGTGGCACAAATTACATATTTGCCTGAGGAATGAAATAATGAAATATCCGTCCTGTGAAGCCCTTTTATGCTCTTTTTGACATATTTAGGCACTTACTTCTCTAAGATCTCATATAACTTTCCTCATTTGTATTTATTTATTTAATATGTTTTTATTGATTTTAGAGACAAAGGAAGGGAGAGGGAAAGAGAGATAGAAACATTGATGAGAGCCCAGCCAGCGTGGCTCAGTGCTTGAGCATCGACCTAGGACCCAGGAGTTCGAGGTTCGATTCCCGGTCAGGGCACAGGCCCGGGTTGTGGGCTCACTCCCCAGTAGGGGGTGTGCAGGAGGCAGCTGATCAATGTTTCTCTCACCATTGATGTTTCTCCCTCTCTCCCCCTCTCCCTTCCTCTCTCTGATATATATACACAAGTTAAAAAAAAAACACACATTGATGAGAGACCTGGTAAATGACCTACTTCTGATGTTTCATCATCCAAGTAATAAATCATGAATAACTGCTGATTAAAGTTCTAAATTTGACAAGTAAGGGAAGAAGCCATTGATGCCTTTTAGGTACCAATGTCCTCTATTCCACAAGAGGTTCCTTGGACAGAGATATCCAGGCGATTTTGAAGAGCTACTTTGCATTCACAATTCATTCTGTTTGCTCCAAACATCTGTGTCTATTATCAGTAGAAATTAAGATAAATGAGACCTCCTGGAGATCTTCTAGGGTTGAGTAAGAGTGCTCAAGTACAGCCAACTGTGGAGGAGATTCACTTAAAGCTAATAGGAAGGAAGGAAATGTGTTCTCATTCTCATTGCTGCTTTTGAGTCAGAGCAGTGGCCTTACTAGCATAGTGGGACCCATTTGCATGCCTTGGTTCAGTGTGACAACATGGAAAATTACAAAGATCTTCACTGTGATGAGACACAGCTCATGGGCTTATGATGTTTGATGCGATAATAAATGAATAATACAATAGTCGATCATACAAGCTAGCTGAAATACAAATGAGCACAAGAAGTTAGGTTGATGGAACAGTGAGTCGGCATCACTGCTTGGGGAATACAGTGACCAAACATGAGGTTGAGAAAGGGAGTGAGCACAGGGAGAAAGTAGATGGATGAAAAGACTAGTGGTCATTCGGAGATCAAATAATCAGATGTAATATGAGTAAATGAGAGAGATGGAAGAAGACAAGGTTTAGTCAAATACTGAAATATTTTAATTTAACATATTAGAAGAGCAGAAATAGCAGGTGATTGTCAGGATGAAGTAATGGTGGGTTGAGGTACAGTGGAAGTGAATATCAGGAAATGAAAAGGTTAAGTATTTTGACACCAGAGGGTCAAATGGCTCATCTGTGTGGCAACAGAACTTGGCGTAAAGCTGAAATTATGACTAGGTCCAAAATTCTGAAATGAGTATGGGGGATATGCGGGAGGTTTGGAGGTCACAGCAACAAAGAGAAGCAGAGGGTTGTGCCAAGTAGAGGAGTATCTGATTCAGTTTGGGCTGCTCTAACAAAAACACCACAGCCTCATTTTATGTTGGAAATAGGTGATGCACCATCTGAGTATAGGTTGAGAAAATCAATAAGCCCTTACAATAAGCAACCTGATCACTCTGGTTTCTCTAAGAACAATATTAGAAGTTTTAAGCACAGATGGAGAATCTCAGAAAATTTTTGGCATAAAATGTATTTTCCGTGATTTGAAGACCAAAATGTTAAATTTAGAAGGAAAATGAAAGGAAATAACATAATCACTCCTGGCATGATAAAACGATATGAGGCTTTAATAATGTCTGAGATTTCTGGGAAGGTTGTAGAAAAATTCAAAGCAGCAAAAAACTCCTCCCCCTGACTCCCTCTTAAATAGCTCGATTTGTTTTCTATTGCTGTGTAAAAATCACTACTGATTTAGTGGCTTGAAACAATATAAAATTATTACCTCAACATTTCCATGGGTCAAGGGCCTGGGCACGGATTAACTGGTTCCCGTGTTCAAGGTCTCACAAGGTTGAAATCAAGGGTTCGGCCAGGGTTGCTTTTCTATCTGCAGTTTGCAGCTCACTTCCCAAGCCATTCAGGTTGTTGGCAGAGTTCATTTCTTTGCAGCTATGGAACTCATGGCAGCTTGCTTCCTCGGGCCAGGAGGAGCCCTCCCCTCTGCTGCCAGCGTCTGAGCTCGGGAAGGCCTAAGCCCTCTATCAAAGAACTCGTCTGATCAGATCAGGCCTGTCCAGGACATCCTACCTTTTCATAAACTCAAAGTCAACCGATTAGGAACCTGAATTGCATTTGCAAAATCTCATCTCTTTTTCCATAGAACATGATATAATTATGGGCATGATGGTGCATTATATTCATGGGTTCAGTCCAAACTCTGGGAGAGGGGATCGCATACGAGCAGGTGAGTATCTTGGGAGCCATCCTACAATTCTGTCTAGGGCAATATCCAAACACCAAAACTCTGGGCTATCCAAGAGTCTGAAAGGGTTGTCTATAAATAATCACATATGGTGAGATGAAAGAACTGCCCCTTACTTCATTCCCTTTGGCTACAGGTTCTTTTGTTCCCACACTGCATTTCTTTCTTGCCTAGGTCCAGAAAATGTTCTGTAACTGGGTTTCTCACCCTCTTTGTTAATTTGTTCATTACTACTTCCCTAAGGAGCCTTTTTGGATTGTTTTATTCCCAAATACGGTGTCCATAAACTTTTAAAACCACAGATATACGAAATAACCATGTCTATGCTGTATTTCTGTTCTTTGTAGATAAAATAGTAAGATTATGGTCCCCCCTCCTCCGAGAAAGAATTTTTGTTCCCTTGGAAGTGATATACCCATGTTGAGAAGTCACGTTCTGTAAGACCAGTGACCCATTAACACATAAATAATCACTGTGTCCTGTCCTTCCTTTCAGTTTTGCTCTCCAGCCCTGATACCAGCTCCCATGTTCTATCCTCTACAATTCTGTAACGAAATTCTGTGATATAAAGACGACTGTGGTTTGCTGTTGAGTAAGATTTGGATAGCCTGTGTCCCAGTCCCACCTTTGCAACTAATTTTCAAAGTGACCTTTGGCAAACCAAGCAAGATTTGGCAGTGCCATTTCTTCAGTATGTCAAAAGGGCACAATGTTGTAAGGTAAAACTTGGTTATAACAGAGAAAATTAATTTGACATGTCTAAAGTCTTGCCTAGAAGAAGAAAGGATAATTCTTTATCATTTTAAAAGGATAGACGAGAAAAATGAAGTTTCTATTCTAGGAGCAGGGGTTTAGAGATAAAAAGATGTATAAATTATGTCAAATGCTCTTTAATAATGTTGGCAGTTCTCATTTGAATTCTGTGGAGGTTCTGTATATCGGAGCAGGGCCAAGGATAGCACCTGTGATCATAAAACAGAGACTGAACTTGTAATCAACTCAAGTTCAAGAGATCTTAAGCTACTTTTTAGCATATTATCACCTCCTATCCTGAGACAGATATGCCACCTGAAACATTCTTTTTGGAGCCACCACACATTTGTTTTTAAGTTACAAAGCCATCATTACCCTAGACAGCAGCACATGCGAATTCTTTACTACACATTCTAAGCACAAGGCATCTAATTAATAGCTTCTTTGCAAGACTTCAACTAAAAGGTTTACTCTTTTCATCATGTCCTGCATCCTACTGCTATGATTTGAGCAATTTAAATGTATGGGCCAAATTCCAAGATGTGAGATATAGCTTTTATTTACCAAAGTTTCTGCTTAACGCTTTGAAATTTCCACAAGCCGAAGCAAATGAATAATGACATTTGGCACTAGATCCTACCATGATTTATCGAGAGAGTGAAAAAATGTAGAGTCCAAAGTGTATCTAACAAATTAGGTTGAAGTTAATTAATATTATGCTTTTAGAATTAAATTTCATGTTTTATATATTTGTTGAAAAATGTACCTCTGTTCATTTTACCATTAGCAAAATGTTCGTCATTTGAAAGGCCCTCTTCTATTCTATTTTCTTGGCCATTTTTAAGGCAGTGAAATTCTGTTGGCCCTGAAGAAATCAACATATGGTTTCAGACACAGCTAGGACCCATGGTATAAGTAAATTGTTTCAATATCAGTTTGCACTCAGAACGCTAACAGAACTATTATTTTCTCAAACAGCACACAGGAAAATTAAGTCATTGTTTGGCTGAAAGTAACATGCATATTACACTTGAGTTGATGGACATAGTATGGAATTATCCTGGCCATGCTTTAGCAGCTTTGAAGCTAGGGGACTAGAAGTCAAGGGTGTTAGACGAGGATTTCTAAGCATTTGCAGAGCAGAACCCATCCCTCACAGATTAAAGCTGAAATTTGGTTTACAAAACACTATTATTTGCAAATGAAACACGTACTTCAGATGCTAATACTTGATTTACCTCCATCTCTATTTGTGGAAAGCAACTGCTGAGCTAAAGAAAACTGAGCTCAGTGGCAAGATCTAGTGAGGTGGGAAAGCAGGCCATGAAGTTAGAGCTTCGGGCTTCAGGTAAGCCTTTCTACCAACCTCTGCCCCACAAATACTTCCTCTTTTCACCTGTGATCATCTTTATCTCTCTTTAAAACACCAATGAAACTGAAAGAAGGACGCTCTAAAGCCTTGCGAGTTATCTGACATACCTTCATGGATGACTTACTCAGCTTCCTTCGTCAGAGCGTGAACGCAGGAATAGGGCGAAATGATAAACTGCAAAGAAAGAAAGGGGATAGGCCATGATATTCCACCAGCTGAAGACTCTATCATGAAAACCATAAGCCTGCTTTTCAAAGATGATATCCCTAAAATTGTCCTTTCAGTGAACTATGGTGAATATGCCTGGAATGACTCTCCTCGCCTTTAATCACAAGTTCATATCTTGCTCATTGGTCAGAATACAGCTCACGGGTTCCAAGCAACCCTGGTTCCTCTCTCCCTTGGACCACCACCATCTCTGCCTTTAAAGTAGCTCTTCCAGCACATATTGCAATTATGTTTATACTTCTGGCTCAGTGTGCAAACTGACAGCTCTTCTAGAGTTGTGCCTTGTTTACCTTCACCTCCAACATCTTCACAGTGCCTGGCACTTAATAAGTGATCAGCTGAATTAATTAATAAATTAGTGTGTCTACCACCTCCACAACTTCATTCCATTTATTCCAAAACTATTGGTTGAATACGTATTATGTGACCAAGAGTGCTTTTGTTTTGGGGTACAGAAGTTAAAAAAAAAAGACTACCACCATGCAGTTTATAATCTAGAAGATGGTAGTTCATTTGTGCTTCTTTCTGCGTTAAGCACCATAGTACTTGGTGCGTGTAATATCTCATTTAATCTTCAATACCGCCCTGTGAAGTAGCTATACTTATTGTTCTCATTTTTACAGTGGGGACATTAAGGCACAGAGAGGTTTATATAATTTTCTATAAAGTTTCAAACTTGTTTTTATGGCTTAAATTTCGGAGCCTTTTAAAACTTACAATTGCTGTCATTCCGACTATGGTGTGGTTGCAAAGTTCCTAGTGTTTCTAGCAAGCAGGGTTCTCTGAACTGAGAATGATAGATCAATATATTTCTTCTAAAACGCACAGTAAATAAAGATCCCCACAATGGAGAGAAGCAATCTCAGAAGAAATATGAGAAGAAATATCTATCTTCTCAAAAAAACCCCACAAAAACACACACAAAAAAACTATTACCATTAAATAGACAAGTCCAATAGCATGTGATATACGTGTAACATAAATCATGCATTAAGCACAGAGAAAACATATCAAACCCATCTATTGTTTTTATTAATGTGCATCGTGCTTCAAATCCAGCATGATTTTCAAGTTCACATAAATAAAATCCCAACTTTTTTAACATATGAAATTCAGATAATCCATATCTTCTATTTGTCAATTGTTTTCATAGCATGCATTACTCAGTCAGAACTCAGACATGTCTGTGGGTACTCTGTGACCAGGTGACTTCAAAATGACTAACAAAGTCCAAGTATACTACTTTAAGAGAATAAAAGATTTGAATAAAAATTTCATAAAATATCATATGAGCCCTAGCAAGTTGTCCCAGTTGGATGGGTGTCATCCCATCCATCAGAAGGTGCCCGGCTGCAGGCTTGATCTCTGGTAGGAGGCAGCCGATCCATGAGTCTCTCCCATCAATGTTTCTCTTTCTCTCTCCCTCTCCCTTCCTTTCTCTCTAAAAGAAGCAATAAAACTATTTAAAAAGTCATGTGAGCTGACATCAGAAAATAAAATCAAAATACGATAGCAGCGCCATATATTAATTCTAAATCAATATTACTGTATGTTTATCAAATTTTTACATGCCTAAATTTCTAATTTCTCCATAGCAGAGTAAACATAAAGATACCTGTCTGATTTTTTTTTAATCTGTCGTTCTATTTGCCTCAGGTCCCTGCTCTCTCTCTTTTATCTCACTCAAACAGAGCCTACCATCCCCGGGATTCGCACTGCAGGCTGCTTGCGCCTCCGTTGAAGGCCTCCTTTCACATTGCCTGGCATTTGAAGAGTCAGTTGTTGACTTGTCTGCCTCTCCAATTAAATTATAAAGTCCTTGAGGCGGAAGGCTACGGCTTATTTACCTTTCTATCCTCCCACAGCCCTACACAAATTAGGTGGTAAGAAAATGTTTGACAAGCGAGTGACCATCATCTGTTTTTTAAAAAACTATCAAGAACATTAAATAGCCCCTCAGAACATTATAGGCTCCTCAATTCAACAGAGTCAAATACGTCAACTCTCTTCATTTATTTTTACAAAATTCAAGTCCTGGGACTGATTCAGGATACTCATAAAGAGTATTGTTAGATACCCCTAAGCATCTCCCAACTCTAAGGCTGTATAATTTCCTCAACAGGTCCAAAGGGCCAGAATCTGAAGCCAGCCATTGAATGAGCCTGTAACACGAGCCTTATAATAACCTTGAGCCCAAGTGGAAGGTGGTGCCTCAGGACGAGGGCCATGAGCTCTGCAGAGACCGGGGGGTCCAAGCCTGCCCCTCATATACCAGCTCCACGGCCTTTACTGATTTGATCTCCTTCCTCACAACATTGCGCGGATGGAAGAACTTGTGTGATGACTGAATGAGATCCTGCATATGAAGAAATAAGCACCATGCTGGGCACACTGGGAACACACCGCTGCCACCATCCCCTGACCTGGTTTCACAGGCTCCAGATTGCTAGAATTAAGCTGTTTTGATCCCAGGTCTCCCGGCTTGCATATCAAATGGCGGTGGCTGCGAATGGGGTTTCCAAATAAAATATAGGACGCCAGTTCAATTTGAATTTCAGAAAGAGAAATAATACTTTTTGCCAGGCCGGGCGTGGCTCAGCGGTTGAGCATCGACCTGGGATCCAGGCGATCGGGGTTCGATTCCCGGTCAGGGCACAGGCCCGGGTTGCGGGCTCGGTCCCCAGTCGGGGGTGTGCAGGAGGCAGCCGATCAATGACTCTCTAATTGATGTTTCTCTCTCTCTCTCTCTCTCTCTCTCTCTCTCCCTTCCTCTCTCTGAAGTCAATAAAGATATTTTTAATTAAAAAAATAACAATAATACTTTTTGTCGTAAGTATGCCCCCTGCACTGGATGGGACACACACATCCTAAGAAATCGCCCATGGTTTAACTGAGATCCAGATTTCGCAGGCGCCCTGTGATTTCATTTGCTGCAGGTGGCAACTCTCGCTCAGAGCCACCCATTAGCGGCAGTCCCCTGCCTGGAGCGCTCACAGACGAACACAGGTCGGCAGGGCTGCATTTTAATTGCTTCCCCATTCACTCAATTTCAGGTATTAGCAATTAATGAAAAGTCGAGCACAGGGACCGAGGCTAGCAAGGAAAAATTGGGCAGCTTTATTCCAACTTAATGTGACTGAGTTTTTCAGCTTGGGAAGAAATGACATATTTAATGAGAACTAATTCTGTGTCAAACACTAACTCTCCGATTCTCTTACTGTATTTTTCTACGTTTAACATATTTTGGGGCGGCTGCAGAGAGGCGGCCTGTAGCTCAGTGCCCGCACATTCTAGTGAGGCTGCAGGAGCACACATGCCAACAGAAAGGGGCCAAAACCAGCTCAGAGCACTGTCTGGGGAAAAGGTTATGTCTCCAACAACCGGTACACACAATTTTTTTTTTCTTTTTCCACTTAGTGTTTCTTGTTGTGACATGAACTTCTAGGGATGAAGCACATCTTAGTCTAGGCTCAAAGAAGCAAAATTTTAAAATGTATATTGATTTCAGAGAGAGGAAGGGAGAGGGAGAGAGTTGAAACACCAATGATGAGAGTCACTGACTGGCTGCCTCCTGCAGGCCCCCTGCTGGGGGTCGAGCCCGCAACCCGGGCCTGTGCCCTGATCAGGAATCGAACCCTGGCCTCCTGGATCCTGAGCCACGCCCGGCCAGGTTGAAGCAAATTTTCTTTTAATCCTCCTCTGAGGATATTTTTTCCATTGCTTTTTCAGAGAGAATGGAAGGGAGAGAGAGAGAAACATCGACGTGAGAGGGACACATGGATGGGTCGGCTCCTGCACAACCCTGGCCTGGGCCGGGGATGGAGCCTGCAACGGAAGCACGTGCCCTCAGCTGGAATCGAACCCAGGGCCCTTAACCCCGTGGGCCGGCGCTCTAACCACTGAGCCAAGCCAACCAGGGCAAGACGCAATTTTGACTATTGAGCAGAACCTATCGCTGACATCACACTTATTTCTGACATTCAGGAATTTTACATAAGGAATCTTTTTCAGAGTATGCTGGAAGGGGCTACAAACATTTAATAGATGCCTGTGTGTGGGAACTGACCATATGACTATCCTTTTAAAAACACATGCATATAAATATATATTTAAGATTGAACAGGCTATTTTCAAAAGACATTATTTGGGGTAAAATTTCACTAGTTAATACTAAAAATTGTTTAGATTCAGAGAGTTTCCTGGCTGTTCCTCTTGCAGATCTTCCGCGTGGGCCACACGACTAGAAGTNTTTTAATTAAAAAAATAACAATAATACTTTTTGTCGTAAGTATGCCCCCTGCACTGGATGGGACACACACATCCTAAGAAATCGCCCATGGTTTAACTGAGATCCAGATTTCGCAGGCGCCCTGTGATTTCATTTGCTGCAGGTGGCAACTCTCGCTCAGAGCCACCCATTAGCGGCAGTCCCCTGCCTGGAGCGCTCACAGACGAACACAGGTCGGCAGGGCTGCATTTTAATTGCTTCCCCATTCACTCAATTTCAGGTATTAGCAATTAATGAAAAGTCGAGCACAGGGACCGAGGCTAGCAAGGAAAAATTGGGCAGCTTTATTCCAACTTAATGTGACTGAGTTTTTCAGCTTGGGAAGAAATGACATATTTAATGAGAACTAATTCTGTGTCAAACACTAACTCTCCGATTCTCTTACTGTATTTTTCTACGTTTAACATATTTTGGGGCGGCTGCAGAGAGGCGGCCTGTAGCTCAGTGCCCGCACATTCTAGTGAGGCTGCAGGAGCACACATGCCAACAGAAAGGGGCCAAAACCAGCTCAGAGCACTGTCTGGGGAAAAGGTTATGTCTCCAACAACCGGTACACACAATTTTTTTTTTCTTTTTCCACTTAGTGTTTCTTGTTGTGACATGAACTTCTAGGGATGAAGCACATCTTAGTCTAGGCTCAAA